TTATGTTTCAGAACAGATTCTCAGTTTCATTGTACATTTCTTTGTAATGTGGGACTCAAATTTGCATAAAAACTCAAAGTGAGAGCTGGGAAATAGAAATAGTAAAACCAGAAGGTAACGGGCATTTTGTTCAAAGCAGATCAAGATAATCTGCTTTCACAAAGAGAAAATGACCCATTGCACCAAACCCCTATTTTTATAGATTGTGAACTCTAGAGTAGTTTGCTATCAGTTTATGATCCTTGCAAATTCTGGTTTTGGTGTGTAACATTTCAGCATTACTCACTGTAATGTTGCAAAAAGTAATCTAGCAATCTTTGGTTCATCATTCTCAGAGATAACATTATAGAAATGCTCTAGCATTCTTAATCCACTGGGAGGGAGTGGGGTGAAGAAAGTGGGGGGGCTTAGGTTGGACTGAGAGTAGAATCAAGGGCAATGTTAGGAAATGTTAGGAATCGAATTAAAAAAGACAATAGTAACATCACTATCCATGTGTGAATCAATGTCCTAAAGAAGGAAATGGATTAACTGTGTTCTTTGAAGTTATAGGGGTAGCATAGGTAAAAGGACATAATCTTAGGAACAGATTACTTTCTGGTGCCTTTGGTAAATCATCTTACTTCTCTGAAGTGTAGTTTTCTAGTCTATGAAATAGGTGCCATAATAGTGCTTTCCTCATAAGAGTATAAAGAGACCCAAACAAGGAAATATATGTGAAAGACAATTCTTTCCCCGTTTTTCCCTGTCTCTACCAAACAAGCCCTAGTTCTAACAAATTGATCAGTTATGAAATGCCTCTTTATCCAAACAAAATGGCTCTCTTAAGGCTGTTTTGAATATGTGAAGTCAGATAGATATAAAAAGTTACATGGGCAAGTTATATTTAAACTGGCACATAATGTTGCTCTAAAAAAAAAAGACATCGACACCTTATGTAGGGATATTCCATCTGAAAAAAAATTATTTAAGAAGTTCATTGTAAAATGTAAAGATTTGAAGGCAGCATAATGAAGTGTGGTTCAGACCTTGAAGTCTGGAATTGTAAAGACACATTCTAAAATCTTGACTCCACCAGTGATAAAATTTGTGACTTTGTGTAGATTACTTCACCTCTAGAATTTCTTTACCTGCCAAAAATGAGAATAATATCTCATAGAGTTGTTATGAATTTTAAATATATTTGTGTGTTCAAGGTACCCAAAACAATATCTAGCACACTCAAATACTCCATTAACAATAAGTGTTATTTTTAAAGTATATTATATGTGTGTTACATGCTGTTAAGCCAGCTCTGACTCCTGGCGCCCCTATGAATGAGTGACGTCCACCATGTCCTGTCCTCAACAGTCCTGCTCAGCTCCTGTGTAGACTCATGCCTATGGCTTCTTTCATGGGGTCAATTCATCTCATACTTGGTCTTCCTTTTTTCCTGTTGCCTTCTATTTTCCCAGCATTATTGTCTTTTTCAAAGAACCTGCCTTCTCATGATGTGCCTGAAGTAGAATAGCTTCAGTTTTGTCATTTTTACCTCCAGGGGTGTTTCAGGCTTAATTTGCTCTAGGACCCACTTGTTTGTCTTCGTGGCAGTCCAAGATACCCGTAGAACTCTCCTCCAACATCATATTTCAAATAAATCATTTTTTTTCTCTATCAGCCTTCTTCACTAACCAGCTTTCACATCCAATTTGGACCTTAAATTTTGCACTTAATAACATTGAACTTTTGTCAAATTATCCAAAACTCATCTTTTTATAAGATAGAGAAAGCATTAATTATCTATATCAAAGAATGGGTGAGGGGATTTGAGACAGATTGTGGGAGTGTTAACCAGGCTGTCCTGGTCCATTCCCCCAATCTCTCAGGCACTGCTCGTTACCTTTGGAGAAGACTATTGATGAATGTGTTAATGGGTCTCGAGGTCATTCCAGTGCCTAGGAGCGATGTTGGAATGTCTACTTGGAAGAACTGAGAACATGGGGGATTATTGCAGTTGGTGGCTGGAATGTGGGATCACAAAGACGCTCATTGCTAAAACAAAAACAAAAACAAAAAACCTCCACTTACTGCAACTAGAGCACATGAGGAAAGAATCTAGTAGTCATGGCCCAAACTAGTAGCCATGGCCACTCCAAGCTGAGTTTTCTCACCAATGACCACAGACTCTTGGAATTTGTCCACCCAGAGACAGAGGTGGTCACTTGGTGGGAGATGAAGGTGAGCCTGCCCAGGGGCCTGGTCTGTGGGAAGTGGCGGAATATAGGATATCAGACATTCTAATTTCCCTTTGACTTTCCATCTTCCAATCTTTCATCAAGGCTGAGCTGTTGCTGTCTTCTTTGGACAAGGAAAGATGCTAAATTCTACAGGCCTATTTTCTGTTTAACAATTACTGAATAACTATCTTATGCCAGGCAACGTGCTGGGAATTAAAGGCTTTGCTTTCAAGGTTGTCTTTCATTAATTCTCTGAAGGCAGCCTCTTTTTCCTCTCCTTGGTAGTTAGCTGGATTAGATGGGCTAATGAGGTGAAGTCTTAGGTGAACCCTCTAGAAGTCAGTTAGCTTTAATCTGTTCTGATAACAAAGAATTATGTCTCTAATCCTAGCCAGTCATCTCAAAAATGTGCTATGAGTCAGTTGGACTTCCTGGTGCGGAGAGCATGGATGAGTCACACCATCTATCACACCGTTAGAAAAACCGAAAACCTCACTCTCTGACAGTGGGGGAGCAATGGCAGCATCTTTGTAAGTGAAGGGCAGGATGCCACATTGTACCAAATATGTTTAATCTTCTTGGAACAACCTTTTATACATACGTATGTGTACATATATGTTATATGTGTGTTATGGTACATATGTGTACCATATATACATACACATCTAATTATTTATATGACATATATAGAAAACATTCCATTTTCCTTTAAGTGTTGCAATAATAGGATGGGTAGGAAGGGATTATAGAGTTCTCAATCCCAGAATGTTACTTTGTAAGGATTTTTTTCTGTGATAAAAACAGCACAAGATCTGCAAAGAGAAGCCCCTTGTTGTTCACTGCGCCTAAGTTTCGCTGCTATGTCAGGTTGTACTTCTCAGAAGTGGCCACAAATATCTCTCAGTCTACATCCCCTCTGCAGTATTACCCTGCCACTCCCATATCAAAAGTGGTATGTCTATTTTTGCACTCCATTTGATATATGGGGTGGGTTTGTATGTGTGTGATACTTGGTATGTGAGGAAAAGATAGCATTCTTGAAAGTATAAAATAATATTATTGCCATAATTTGCTATTATTATTATTTAACATGTTTGCATAATATTTGATTTGATTACATATAATTAACGTATTAATGGTTTATAAAATAGAGACTCTACCAGTGTACTATTCTCTCTTTCTATACACATACACATATATATACACACATATTTATGTATATATATGAGATTCAGGGTTTAAATTGGGTGTCTCTTAGTTTATATCAAACTGTACTTGTCCAAAAATTTAGATTCTTAATGTAATATGACTCTGTAAGGAAAAGATAGCATTCTTAAAAGGATATATATATTTATA